AGCATGAATGCAGGAAAACTTTACATTGTAAAGAAAGAAATTGAATGCATAAATATGGACATAGTGGGTATTAGTGAAATCAGATGGACTGGCATGGGAGGACATTCTGAATCCCACGATCATATGTTCTATTATGTTGGAGATGAAAAGGGGAGGGAAAACAAGGTTGCTTTCATAGTTTAAAAAGGCCATTTTTAGATTCACCCTGAAATACAATATTGTGAGTGACAGGATAATATCCATACACATACAAGGAAGACCTGCTAATACCACTACCGTTCAAATTTGTGCACCTACAACCAGAGCCAAAGAGGAGAAAATAGAAGATTTCTATCAACTGCTGCAGTCAGAAATCGATCAAACATGTAACCAAGATACTTTAACAATAATAAGTGAATGGAATGCAAACGTTGGGAATCAGGTAGAAAGATGAGCTGTTGGAAAATATGGACTTGGTGACAGAAATGAGGCTGAAAATAGAATGATAGAATTCTATAAAATCAATGATTTATTCATAGCAAACACCTTTTATAAGAAACATAAATGCAGGCTATACACAGACTGATTACGTCTGTGGAAGGAACTGTTGGAGAAATTCAATATCAGCAGTAAAAAGTAGGCCAGATGCTAATTGTGGAACAGACCATCAACTGCACATATGCAAGTTCAAATTAAAACTAAAGAAAGTTAAATCATATCCACAGGGGTCAAAATTTGACCTTGTGTCTATCTATCATGAATTTAAAAAACAACTCAGGAATAGGTTTGAGGCCTTGAACACTAACGCACGAAGATCAGATAAGCTGTGGGAAGATCTCAAGATAACAAGAGTATCGCTCATGAAGAACGCAAAAAGTCATTACTAAGAAGGAAGAAGAAGAAAAGACTAAAATTGATGTCAGAAGAGACTCTGAATATTGCATGGAGCAACGAGAGGCCAAAGCAAAGGGAAGAAATCATGAAGTTAAGGAGCTGAATAGAAGATTTCAAAGGGCTGCTTGGGAAGAAAAGGCAAAATATTATAATGAAATGTGCAAGGAACTTGAGTCAGAAAATCAAAAGGGCCAAACTCACTCAGCACTTCTTAAGCTGAAAGAACTAAAATATAAATTCAAGCCACGATTTGCAAAGCTTAAGGATGCTAGGGGCAGAATACTTAATGATTTAAAAAGCATTAAGAGCTGATGGAAGGAGTATACACAGACACTGTACAAAAAAGAACTGGATGGCACAGAAGAATTTACACACACACACACACATACACACACACACACACACACGATGAGGTAGTTGTTCAAACATAGCAAAGGGAAACAATCCGATTTAAAATCAGAAAAAGTATACATCTAGGTTGCATCTTTACATCATATTTATTTAAACTGTATGGTCAGCAAATAATCCAAGATGCTAAACTACGTGAAGAAGAAATCAGGTAGCATTAGATTTCAGGGAAGATTAACAGCCTGTGCTGCATATGATACAGCCTTGTTTGCTAAAGTGAAAGGATTTAAAATTTGTACTGAGAAAGATGAAAGAACGTGGCCTTCAGAATAGATTACTCCACAACATAAAGAAAACAAAAATTCTCACAACTGGACCAATAAACAGCAACATGATAAACAGAAAATAATGAAGCTGTCAAGCATGTCATTTTATTTGAATCCATAATCAACATTCATGAAACAGCAGTCAAGACTATCAAGTGGTGTGTTACATTAGATAAAAATAGTGTAAACGATCTCTTTAAAGTATTCAAGAGTAAAAATGTCACTAAGGTGTGCTTGGCCCAATGTGTACTTGCTCCATATGCAAACAAAAGCTGGACAACGAATAAGGAAGATCAAATAATTCATGTATTTGAGTTATGGTATTGGCAAAGAATGAAAAATGTAACTCAGATTGATTGCCAGAAAAACTGAATCTGTTTTGGAGTACAGGCTTAGAAACTCAGCTTTATGCTCTTTAGAAATGAAGATGATGACACTTCATTTCACGTACACTGAGCATGTTATTATGTAGGGTTAGTTTGTGGACTGCTTGATAAAGGAAAGTGTTAACCAAAAAAAGAAGAAAATTTTCAACCAGATGGACTGACATACTGACTGCAACAATGGGTTTAGACATAGGAATGACTATGTGGATGGTACAGGAACCAGGCAGTATTCCGTTCAGTTGTACATAGAGTTGTTCAGTCAGAAACAACCTAACAACATCTAACAGCAACATTTTTCAGTCATCAGACAGCTCAATTAGATCTCAATTAAAAGACAGGTCAATGTGGCTGGCTGGGTTCCAATTCTGTCAATGCTATATTCTCAAGCCCTTTGGTGAACTATCTTTCTCCTTAATGGAAAGAAGTTGACAACTTTAATGAAGGGACCTGAAGCATCACCAGGCAAATGTGGGAAGGATGTGGCTAACAATGGACTATCTGAAAGCCATTTACAATCCAAAAATCCCTTGCCTTAACTTTAGAGGCTATAAAAGGTAAAATGGCATCCCAATCTCTTGGCTTCCCTTGTAGCCAGGAGTGGCCATGTAACAAAACTATAATAAAAGGAGAATAAACTTAGAAGCTATTAAAGAATATCTTTTCACTTTGGCTGCCAGCCATGTGGACATGATTCCTGGAGATACTGTCTTAGTTCCATGGGGAAAAAGCCCACATGGCAATGAGGGCAGAGCAAAGAGACAAAGGGCACTTGACTCCTTGATGATACAGGAGGGCTACCACTCCTGTCCTGGACTGTCAATCCTTGGGTTTCCTTGCACAAAGTGTGAGGCTATAAAGTAGGTTTTTTATGTAATTCGAATTATAATAATAAAAATAAAGCTTTTTCTCATCAATTCATTTAGCGAGCCTGTCTCTTCCTTACGTAGTTGTTTTTTTAAAAAAGTGATCATCCTCTCCCTTGCTCCAACTCCTCCCATCACCCCAGTTTTTAAAAGGTCAACGAAGCTTTTAAAAAAGGAATTAACTCTTTCCCAAAGAGTAAAGAAAAATGTTTAGCTTCTGGGTCTCCCTATAGCAGATGGCAGAGCTAAGACTGTCTTAGAAAGCAGATGAGAAAGGAATAGTTTCCTTCTTGATGCACCAGGTGCTGAGGAGTCCTGGACAGCACCTGGAAATCCAGAAACAGAAAGCAGAAAAAGAGAAACTAAAGTATGTCAAGCTTCCAAACTCCTTGGGAAAGAGTCAATCCAATACCACACCCTTATTTGGGAAGAAATTTAAAAATCACTGTCTTAACAAAATACCTTTTCTCTCATTCCAACATCATGTCTGAGAGTCCATTCAGAAGAAATCATGGACTTTCTCTTAAAGTCACCAAAGGAAAAAACAGGCAGAAAATTCAAAGGTGAGTCACCTATCAGAGTGTTCTAAAGAAAAGTAGAGTGCTTTCTGTTCTTTTTCCAATGTTCTTCCTGGTAAAATATTTTGGTGACTGCAGAAGTTATGTCATTTATTAATGATCAAAGACATTTTCCAAAGTTATTGCAAAAGAATAGATAGTACAACCAAGCTAGGAACTCTATTCATTTCATTCAAAAAATAAAAGTGAATTAAAGAAACAAAGAACAGACTGCATTTCTGTGAAAAGGGCAAAAGGCTTTGACTAATTTCTTGAATTAAATTTCACCAAATCCAGATAAGATACTAACTGTTCTGGACTATTCGCTATAAATATAAAGAACTTCTACCTCAAGCAATCTCCCTATAAATAGCTCTATTGTTGACAATAATTGTAAGGGCGAAGGCTTAAGCAGTAAAGCAGGAGACAGCATTCTAGAGAGCACACAGTCTGGTTCCTGTGACAGTGCAAAGGAAATGCCTTAATCTGAACAGCATTTTATAGAAAACACCAAACTGGTTGAGATAAGTTGGCTGCAACTCTTGATGACTTACTTCAAAAAGTGAATTTTGCAAAAAAGGTAGAAGTTAAGCAGGTAGTAAACAGAAAGGAGATGAGGAACAATAATTATGGAAATAATTTACTTAGCTAGCAAAGGTATGGTCAAGTATTAGAAGAAATGAATTTAAACAGATCTTTGTATCAGAATTCTTGTTATTGATTGCCCTCGAGTCCAGCGCGACTCATAGACCCTATAAACAAAAGGCTTGAAGCCCCTCTATACTACTGACATTTATCAAAGTTCATAGAGTTTCTGGGGGGCATGTTATTTAGGAAGTGGATGCCACCCCTGCTTTGAAATAATTTCTAACAATTAAAACCAAACTGCAGAACCAGAAATATTTATGTCACCTGAACTAACCCTCAGATGAGAAGGATGTCTCCTGAGGGTTGCCACACAAAGAAATTCCATCTGAGGACAACAAAGTCACAGACTATTTGAGCCATAAATATTTATCAATGACCCACCATAATCCATAGAACATTCTTGATCCACAAACTGATTATTCAACTGTAGTAAGTTAAACTCTAAGGACACTCTGGGTATCTAAGGTTTTTTAAAGTATCTTTCCTAGCCAATGATTAACTGTTTATTTTGTGCTGAAATATTTATTGTATTAGGGAGAAAATTAGGATAAAGTCATGGGATCTTAGTGCTAGCTCTCTTTTTATTTTGGGATATCTGCCCTCAATGGATCATTTACAATCCTTACCAGTCTCTGCAAAACCACCCTGCATACTTGCGGTCACATGAGTCATTTCCCTGATGGATCTGAGTCTCTGGTAGACTCAGTTCAGTGAACTACCAAACCCAAGGGACACAGGGAACTGAACTGAAGAGAGCTAGGGAACTGAACAAGGAGGGGCTGTTGAAGTTGAAGTCATGGTATTATACAGCAGGTCAAGCATGTGGGACAACATTGACTCAACCCATCTTATAACTGGTCTGCTACTAATCTTAGCAAAATGAATTATGAATACAGATGTCAATTCACAGTAATAAAATTACAACAGAAATTTAAAGTTATTTAAGTTTGTGTTAGCATATCAGGAATGGACAAAGGCAAGATGCCCAGAACCACATACCTAGTACGTTGCCTGGAGGCACCTCTTCTAGATTTTCCAGCTCTCTGCCCATCAGAAGATATAAATTTTCCAGAGTACAGTATGCCAGATGGGGCACTGGAGGAAGGGCATCAGGTGGAGTGGAGAAGCCTAACGGTACCTAAACAAGAAACAACCACAAAACTTTACTTAAGTCAGAGATGTTAAAGAAAAAAACACTAACACAACACCATTTGTGTGTATTGCAATAAATAAGACTTTTAAAATATTAAAAACATATCAAGTATTCCACAAAATACTGTTTTCTAGCAAAGTAATATAAACTCTGTTGTGATCCAGTAGCAACATATTAGATGATAAATAAAACCCTTGTGTTGTTAAGTATTGCTGAGTCACCTATAACTCACAACAACACTATGAACAATGGAAGCGCACTCTGCCCTACCCTGTGCCATCCTGACCACCTCTGACACACTCAAGCCCATTATAGTCAAGGTGTCAATCCTTCTTGTGGAGGGTCCCTTCTGACTACCTATCTGTCCAAGCATGATGTCCCTTGACAAGAATTGGATCTTCCTAACAACATGCCCCAAGTATGTGAGATGAAGCTTCACCACCCTCGTCCCTTGCTAGTGATGTGAACCATGTCGTGGTCTACCCTTATCAGTTCTGGTGCGTATTGTGCTATCATTTCAACACTCACTGTAATTTAAAATCACTTTTCATCTATTATTATCATTTTGTCTTCCAAGCATTTAACTAGAAATAGGACTAGTGTTGAGAAAGATTACTAACTGTGAAAGAGTAGTCACATATTTTAAAAAATGCTAGGAATAAGAGCACATACCTGTCATTATATGCCATTTTCCTAATTTGGAAGAGAACATTCTGTGGAATATTGGATACACACAGGAGAAAACAGAGTGCCCAGAGAGCATAAATACGTTACAGCCACAACAGATTTAAGAACTCTCACTTGATCATACTTATTCTTATAGGGATAATGTCCCTAATTTTTCATGTTCCGAGTTGTATAGTCTTCTGAAATATATCCTTCGTATAAAAGCAAGTGCCCTGAAAGCATTTTAATCAGCCAACCAACATATCTTTGGTACCTTTACGCCCAAGGTGCAGTGACAGTGCTATTAAAAGAAAAAAATGTCAAAGATACGGCATTACCTCATCCTCTCAAAAATAGCCACCATCACGGCAAAGAGCAACTAACAGGCAATTTTTAGTTAAGTAAATTCATACAAATTCAGAGAAGAAAAAGGTTCTGAATTTTCCATTCCTTCCACAAAGAGTGACTGCCATTCAGGCACCTGCTGCATCTAAATGTGCCTGTCCTGGTAGAGTGACAGCTCTGTAGGGTGGCTCTGAAGATACAAAAGAATCAACAGGTAGCATTTACCCCAACACAAAGCTCCAAAGGCAGGGAAAGACTAGAGATAGTAACAAGCAGAAACCAGGGAGAAAGTTGAAAAAGTGCTGCTACAGGGAGAGGACTGCAAACAACATCACAAAACACATGACGGAGTACTCGCTGACTGGAAAGTTCTCTGCTTTGTAAACTTTCACCCAAAATAAAACAGAAATACGTGGCTGTGTTTGTTGTTGGGTGCCACTGAGTCAACTATGACTCACAGCAACCCTGTGAACAAGAGATCTGAATTCTGCCATGTCCTATACCATTCTCATCATCTCTAATGTAGAAAGAAGTAAAAAATATAAGAACTGGTTAGGAAAGAACAAAACTAACTACAAACTACCTAGAACTACAGACAAATTCTTTCAATTAGTAAGATAATTTAGCTGAGTGGCCAAGCATAAGTAAAGTTAATATACAAGTTAGTTGGACATTTACACATCAGTCATAGACAACAAATATGCTTCTTAAAAAATGTTAACATTTTTAATAGCCACAAAATTGAACCAGAAAAAATTTAACAAAAGTTATGCAAGATGTTTATGAAGAAAATTACAAAGTTTTAATAATATGAATTAAAAGAATGGGTAAATATATCTACCAGACATTCATGCATAAGAAGCTTATGAATTGCAGTAATTCACATCAAGCCATTTTAAAACATTTTCAATTTCAGTAAGACTTACCATGGAACTTAACTGAAAAGTACATAGAAAAGCAAAGAGACAAAAATAAATAAGGCACAAAGCAGATGAATGAAAAGCAACCAGGATTTTAAAAAGGTTGTGGACAATCATCTAAAGTGCAGTGTCCTAAATAAAGAGGGAAGAAAAGCAAAGATGTAGTGAAAGGACTAGGGAAGTGAGCCTGAGATCAGAAGCATTAGATGGTGCCTTGCTACCACCTCTCACCACTCTAAAAAGGATCACAGTACAAGGTCCAGGAGAAAATGTGGAGTAAAACAAAAACATAAGACAAGCCACGTTAACTGGTCCTGGTCAATGGAGACTGGTGGAACCCCAAAGCCAAACTCTGAATCTGGAAGAGAACTTTGCCGAAGACAGCCCCCCACGGGCAGAGGGCCCTGACGGCTCGCCCTGAGCAGAGGGCCGAGGACAGCCCGTCCCGAGCAGGGCAACACCCCCCATGGACTGGCTGGTACACTCCCCTCTAACTGTCCACACACTAGTCTGGTCCCCTCACCTGACTGAGGAGTGTGTGGCCAGGGACAGCGTCTCCAATACCAGCACCACCACTTTTATCCCCCCATAAGTGGTCGTACTATAATTTGAAGTAGATGTCACTTCCCTCCCCCTTTATAAATGGCAAAGGGAACCAGAAAATTGTGAACAGGCTCCCCCCAGGCCTAAACATCTTTTGGCAGAAGCATTCAACAGATCAAATA